TCGCTAAACACGGCAGCGTGTCACTCTGAGCCGGTAGGGTGCCGCGTGGCTCAGTGATGGCACTCTGCCGTGTGGCTCAGCCCTGGCAGGGTGCTGAAGCCTGCAGGGGAAGGGGTTCGAATCTCCCAACCTGCTAACGTTGAGGTCTGTACCAACACAATATGCTTGATCCCAGAGTCATGAAATTTAATATGTCATGAAAGTAACGGAAGGAGCTCAGTCCGGTTATGGGGGCCCCTTAAACGGGCCGGACGGCAGACCTCAACTGGCTCAGATCAAGCCAATACTAGAAAACATCTTTGGAGCAGGGTTGTGGGATCGAACCGGCGGTCACCGCAGACGCACTGCACATAGATCTGCCACGGAACAATTCAGCAAACTCGCGCCATCCCTCAGGCTCACGGCAACACGAAAATGTATCACGAGTTTAATGTTGTTCCAGGCGGACGAGTCTCTTCCGTGGTAACACTTATAAAATAAGTCAAAGGCACTTTTTGTATTATGTGTATTTTCTTCGAGGAGGAGGGAAGATGTGGTGACTGAAGCGTCAGCACTGGTAAGACATGAACTGCATCCCAGGCTTAGATTCTAGGCAGTGACTGGCTCTGATTCTAAGCAGTGACTGGCTCTGATTCTAGGTAGTGACTGGCACTGATTCTAGGCAGTGACTGGCTCTGATTCTAGGTAGTGACTGGCACTGATTCTAGGCAGTGACTGGCTCTGATTCTAGGTAGTGACTGGCTCTGATTCTAGGCAGTGACTGGCTCTGATTCTAGGTAGTGACTGGCTCTGATTCTAGGCAGTGACTGGGTGAGATTCTAGATAGTGACTGGCTTTGATTCTAGGCAGTGACTGGGTGAGATTCTAGATAGTGACTGGCTTTGATTCTAGGCAGTGACTGGCTTTGATTCTAGGCAGTGACTGGCTCTGATTCTAGGCAGTGACTGGCTCTGAGTCTAGGCAGTGACTGGCTCTGAGTCTAGGCAGTGGCTGGCTCTGATTCTAGGTAGTGACTGGCACTGATTCTAGGCAGTGACTGGCTCTGATTCTAGGCAGTGACTGGCTCTGATTCTAGGCAGTGACTGGCTCAGATTCTAGGTAGTGACTGGCTCTGATTCTAGGCAGTGACTGGCTCTGAACCTCCTTTGATATTCAGGTACTTCGAAACCATATTTCGTAGAAATCCTTCACTGCTTTTGGAAATCGTAGAAGTGCTTCACTGCTTCTTGGCATCATAGAGCATGTATTTCGGAGAGTTTTCAAATATTGAGGTGGAAACTGTCCTAAAGTCCCCCCCTTCGTGCTTTCAGATGGTTGGTGCCGAGTTGTTTATCACTGTCAGTCGAGGCTGGATTAACCTTTCGAGGGGCTGGGAACCAAGCAGGCGTGTGGGATTCCTCTCCGAATTCGTTGGTATTCCTTTTAGATTTGTGGGTCCCCCAATTTGGATTTTGCTGGAGCCTGTTAAAAATGTTGGTCAGTACTGGATTTAGAGACTCCCACTTGAAATTTGTAGGGTTCTGCTTGGAATTTGTAGGGCTCAATCTTTTGACACCTCATTTGGGATTTCCGAGGCCCATTTTAGAATTCATTGCTTTTCTATTTTAGATTTATTGGCAATTTGGGATTTGGAAACATTCACGTGGAGGACGTTTGTGCTTTCCTCCTGCAACCTGTTCTACTCCCCTGCAACCTGTTCTCCTACAACCTGTCCTCCTGCAACCTGTCCTCCTGCAACCTGTCCTCCTGCAACCTGTCCTCCTGCAACCTGTTCTCCTGCAACCTGTCCTCCTGCAACCTGTCCTCCTGCAACCTGTCCTCCTGCAACCTGTCCTCCTGCAACCTGTTCTCCTGCAACCTGTTCTCCTGCAACCTGTTCTCCTGCAACCTGTTCTCCTGCAACCTGTTCTCCTGCAACCTGTTCTCCTGCAACCTGTTCTCCTGCAACCTGTCCTCCTGCAACCTGTCCTCCTACAACCTGTCCTCCTGCAACCTGTCCTCCTGCAACCTGTCCTCCTGCAACCTGTCCTCCTGCAACCTGTCCTCCTGCAACCTGTCCTCCTGCAACCTGTCCTCCTGCAACCTGTCCTCCTGCAACCTGTCCTCCTGCAACCTGTCCTCCTGCAACCTGTCCTCCTGCAACCTGTCCTCCTACAGCCTGTCCTCCTGCAACCTGTCCTCCTGCAACCTGTTCTCCTGCAACCTGTCCTCCTGCAACCTGTCCTCCTGCAACCTGTCCTCCTGCAACCTGTCCTCCTGCAACCTGTCCTCCTGCAACCTGTCCTCCTGCAACCTGTCCTCCTGCAACCTGTCCTCCTACAACCTGTCCTCCTGCAACCTGTCCTCCTGCAACCTGTCCTCCTGCAACCTGTCCTCCTGCAACCTGTCCTCCTGCAACCTGTCCTCCTGCAACCTGTCCTCCTGCAACCTGTCCTCCTACAGCCTGTCCTCCTGCAACCTGTCCTCCTGCAACCTGTCCTCCTGCAACCTGTCCTCCTGCAACCTGTCCTCCTGCAACCTGTCCTCCTGCAACCTGTCCTCCTGCAACCTGTCCTCCTGCAACCTGTCCTCCTGCAACCTGTCCTCCTGCAACCTGTCCTCCTGCAACCTGTCCTCCTGCAACCTGTCCTCCTGCAACCTGTCCTCCTGCAACCTGTCCTCCTGCAACCTGTCCTCCTGCAACCTGTCCTCCTGCAACCTGTCCTCCTACAACCTGTCCTCCTGCAACCTGTCCTCCTGCAACCTGTCCTCCTGCAACCTGTCCTCCTGCAACCTGTCCTCCTGCAACCTGTCCTCCTGCAACCTGTCCTCCTGCAACCTGTCCTCCTGCAACCTGTCCTCCTGCAACCTGTCCTCCTGCAACCTGTCCTCCTGCAACCTGTCCTCCTGCAACCTGTCCTCCTGCAACCTGTCCTCCTGCAACCTGTCCTCCTGCAACCTGTCCTCCTGCAACCTGTCCTCCTGCAACCTGTCCTCCTACAGCCTGCCCTCCTGCAACCTGTCCTCCTGCAACCTGTCCTCCTGCAACCTGTCCTTCTACAACCTGTCCTCCTACAACCTGTCCTGCTACAAAGAATGTCGCATTTCGCTCGTATGCGTTACCTAAGGCCAAACATTGTCGTACTAGAAAATGGAAGCGGCTGGCGAAAGTGACGTACTATCCCGTTTTCTGTTTTGGGTCCTCTGGTAGGTTAGGGGAGACCACTTTAAATTGACCGGTTTTCTGGACGTTGGGAAGCGTTAGGAGGCCTTCCAGACGTCATTAAATGTACGGCAATAATGGTAGTAAATGTAGGATTTTTGAAGGACTCTTGATTTATCGGTCCAATAGCACTAGGTACTTGTGTAAAACCCCTTCGGAGGATCCCGGGTTCGATCCCTCGTGCGGGGCAGAGACAGTTGGGGGTACTTTTTCCTTCATCTGATGCAACTATTCGCTTATTTAGCTCATTTTGCATCAGCTATTGGCTACGGCAATGTCCATATAATTTATCTATTTTGCAACTGAAGGTGACTTTATCTATCACAAAGGGCTGCCTTCTCCAAGATCATTTATCACCATTAACATTATATCGGGAATGTTAATGTTATAGTTAATGTTATTCGTCCAACTCGGCCAAAATTAAGTCAACATTTTTCACAAAATGTTAACGGAAAATTACATAAAATTTTGTACTCAACATATATTCGGACCTTCCCCTTTCTTCTGATAAAACAATACATAATAATACATAACCAAACCCAGACATATGGGGTCCGTGTTGGACTTGGTCAGAGACCGTCCAGGTCCCTTACCAAGTCCGTCCTGGACCCTTTCCAAGTCCGTCCTGGACTCGTACCAAGTCATTTTTGGATTCTTACCAAGTCCTTCCTGGACCCTTACCAAGTCCTTCCTGGACCCTTAGCAAGTCCGTCCTGGACCCTTAGCAAGTCCGTCCTGGACCCTTAGCAAGTCCGTCCTGGACCCTTACCAAGTCCTTCCTGGACCCTTACCAAGTCCTTCCTGGACCCTTACCAAGTCCTTCCTGGACCCTTACCAAGTCCGTCCTGGACCCTTACCAAGTCCGTCCTGGACCCTTACCAAGTCCTTCCTGGACCCTTACCAAGTCCTTCCTGGACCCTTACCAAGTCCTTCCTGGACCCTTACCAAGTCCTTCCTGGACCCTTACCAAGTCCTTCCTGGACCCTTACCAAGTCCTTCCTGGACCCTTACCAAGTCCGTCCTGGACTCGTACCAAGTCCTTTTTGGATTCTTAGTGAGTCGTTAAAAATCATGACGAAGATAAATTTGTTTCAACTGCGTTATTGGGACATTTTATGCAAAATGATTATATTAAGATATGAACAAGACTCACGGAATCACCTGTCTACCTGTCACGAGGCCAAGTAGACTAGTGGGAGTTTACGAAGTGAGTAATAGTACTCAAGTGAGTGTGAAGGTAAACTCAGTGCCGAGTTTCATTACAAGTTGATAGACTCGGTGGATTAATCTCAACAGTTCAGCCAACAGACCTATTCCAATGTATACAAATTCACAAGGGCCGTGACGAGGATTCGAACCTACGTCCGAAAGCATCTCAGAGACATCTATTGTAATGTGTGTTTGTATCTTAATCTATTACGGGAACTTCTGGAAAGGAGCTGGAGTTAGTTTTTGGAACTGAATTTGAAGTTGAAAGGAATTGAGTTTCTGTCAACTGGAGTTGAAGTTCTTTTACAGAAACTGGTACAACTGTTTACACACAGCAATCACAATAGCGTGATGCATCAAATGAACAAATCCCCAAGGGAGAAACTGCAGGATCCGTGGTAGATTAGGATGATTTCCCGGTTGCAATTATTTTACCATGTCGTAGCTCAGTCGATTAAGGCAGCGTTTGGGATCCTCTCGGACGTAGGTTCGAACCCTCGTCACGGCCCTTGTGGATTTGTTCATGGTACAACTGTTCTTTGTAGACTGGTACAAGTGGAACACAACTGGAACGAGGAAGTCAACTTACCGAAGTGTGGTGAGGGGATGTACCCCCCTGGTAATTGCCGTAGCCCATGTGATTACAGGTACAGCGACAGGTACGCAGGTGCTCCTCCAACTCTGGGGGAAGGGGCGGCAAGAGCGGTTCCAGGGGCCCGAGTCCGGTTTCCAGAACCCCTCCACACCAGCCTCCGGCCACACTATGGGTGGAACCGGAGCCGCGAGCTCGCCCGTCACTCCAAGAGGGCACTCCACGCCCGTAGGCTGGTCTAGTGGAGGTGGCGCTGCACACGTCGACGCTGTGGTGGGTGGCGGCTTGGAGTGGGTGGCAGTCGGGGTGGCAGTAGGTGGCAGCGGCACCTTCGTAGGTCGGTGGTGGGACCGGGTGATGGTGGGTAGTGTGGTTCACCTCTCCTTTCATGCAATAACTCTTACTGCGACGCATCCCCACGCCTGCTGTGGGGCTACCCGAGCAGGCCCCGCCAGCCCCACCACGCCCACCACGCCCAGTCCATCACACACACGCCGCCCACACGCCTCAAGCCCCCTCCTGAAACACCACAAATGCAGTCTTAGGGATTTGTTTGATGGACCTAAAATAATCATGACATGGTACTATTAGAAAACTTTCACAGTCTACCAGGGCTACTAGCATCTCTTACAGTCTACCAGGGCAACTAGCATCTCTCACAGTCTACCAGGGCTACTAGCATCTCTCACAGTCTACCAGGGCTACTAGCATCTCTCACAGTCTACCAGGGCTACCAGCATCTCTGACAGTCTGCCAGGGCTACTAGCATCTCTCACAGTCTACCAGGGCTACTAGCATCTCTCACAGTCTACCAGGGCTACTAGCATCTCTCACAGTCTACCAGGGCTACTAGCATCTCTCACTGTCTACCAGGGCTACTAGCATCTCTGACAGTCTACTAGGGCTACAAGCATCTCTCGCAGTCTACCAGGGCTACTAGCATCTCTCATAGTCAACCAGGGCTACTAGCATCTCTCACAGTCTACCAGGGCTACTAGCTTCTCTCACAGTCTACCAGGGCTACTAGCATCTCTGACAGTCTACCAGGGCTACCAGCATCTCTGACAGTCTACCAGGGCTACTAGCATCTCTCACAGTCTATCAGGGCTACTAGCATCTCTGACAGTCTACCAGGGCTACTAGCATCTCCCACAGTCAACCAGGGCTACTAGCATCTCTCACAGTCTACCAGGGCTACTAGCTTCTCTCACAGTCTACCAGGGCTACTAGCATCTCTCACAGTCTACCAGGGCTACTAGCATCTCTCACAGTCAACCAGGGCTACTAGCATCTCTCACAGTCTACCAGGGCTACTAGCATCTCTCACAGTCTACCAGGGCTACTAGCTTCTCTCACAGTCTACCAGGGCTACCAGCATCTCTGACAGTCTACCAGGGCTACTAGCATCTCTCACAGTCTACCAGGGCTACCAGCATCTCTGACAGTCTACCAGGGCTACTAGCATCTCCCACAGTCTACCAGGGCTACCAGCATCTCTGACAGTCTACCAGGGCTACTAGCATCTCTGACAGTCTACCAGGGCTACCAGCATCTCTGACAGTCTACCAGGGCTACTAGCATCTCCCACAGTCTACCAGGGCTACTAGCCTCTCACACAGTCTATCAGGGCTACAAGCAGCTACCGTTAATCAGGGCTACAAGCAGCTACCGTTAATCAGGGCTACTGCCAACTATTACATTCCACTAGGACAGGTAACACACATAGCAAGACTTAAGACTTGCCATGCATGGCAAGAGTTAAGACTTGCCATGCATGGCAAGACTTAACTTGCCATGCCACATTTGGCAGACTTGTATTGCCACAAACATGATCACGAAACAAATTAAACAACTCTGATGCTTTTTTTTTTTTACAATCATACACAACATGTAAAAAATGTTGTTTTAGTCATTCAAGCTATATTGAATAAATTAATAAATTAATCATGTATCGGGTATTCATCATGTATGAATTAATACAGATCACACCCAAAAATAAATGGCTTATGTTTAAGTATTCATACCAATGAATATTTCGTAGAATTTTAAATCTTTCCCATATGATTTATTTCTGGTTTCTGGTCCAATCAACCTGTTTCAATCAATCTTGCTTGCCATGAAATACATTATCTGTTGTATTCTCAACTTTTTCAACAGTCATGTTTCTACCGTTCACTTTGCATGCTACACTTTGTAGACTAATATGTCTCTATTGTCTTAATCCCTCACTCTGCTCACTTTTATTTGCATATAAAGATCTAGACGAAGATATTTTCCAATCATCTGGAACGATACCAGTCATTTGAAGCTATCAATAACTGACACCATGCAAATCATTGGAGCTGGGATCTGAAGACAACTAGCTGGGATATGAGGACAAGAATCTGGGATATGAGGACAAGTAGCTGGGATATGAGGACAATAATCTGGGATATGAGGACAAGGAGCTGGGATGTGAGGACAAGGAGCTGGGATATGAGGACAAGAAGCTGGGATATGAGGACAAGAATCTGGGATATGAGGACAAGCAGCTGGAATATGAAGACAAGGAACTGGGATATGAGGACAAGAATCTGAGATATGAGGACAAGGAGCTGGGATATGAGGTCAAGGAACTGGGATATGAGGAAGAGGAGCTGGGATATAAGGACGCATCTTTACAGCAGCTGCGCCACTTGAATCACTAGGTGATTGAGCTTCGACCCTGCAACGAGTACAGACCGTCGCTCTACCGACCAGTCAAAGTGGTTGGGCAAGTGAAATGCTAATCACCAGGGAGGATACAGTTTGGAGTCATCAGTTCTCATACATAAGACATACTCCAAGCTCTGTAGTCGAATCTTCTCAAGTTACAGCAGACGCCTGTGTTTCACACGACAGACTCTTATATAACAGAAAATATCTATATCAAGTTCAAGTTCAAGTATGTTTATTGAGACAAGTAAAAACACATCTCAAAGGGATAGTGTAGCTTAGGCTATTTCTACCCCCTAAGTAGCTATATTAAAATCAATATCAGCCATACACTTGGAAACTAAGTACATAATATGGAAAGATCAATACGCATTTGCAAGGTTTTAATTTTGATACATAACCATTTAACTTACTAAGTTCTCTGGAAACACAGCTCTGAGAATTTTTCCCGTCTCTTTTAACACAAAATTCTTGAGTTATCATTGAGTTTTTTGCGGCTTAAATGACTGAAAACGTTCTGTGCTTCACGTACGGCAAACGTTCTTTGTCCCAGGGGCAGCAACAGTCCCAGAGGAAGGTATCCCAACAGCAACAGCAGCAGTCAGTTGCATCCCACACCCGCCATCCCCACTCTACTGACACCAGAGATGATGTGCTCATGAAGAGTCCTACACCAGGTGTAATTTCAGCCAATGGGCCCAACCACTTGAAGGTAATGGGATGACATCACAACAATAGACTCCGGGTGGGACCTTCCAGCTGGTGCTCAGTGGCTCCCCCACACAACTGGTGGCTTAGACGGAAGAGTTGTCGAGTGCTTAGATTATCTCCCCGGACATTATCTCCCCGGACATTATCTCCCCGGACATTATCTCCCCGGACATTATGTCCACCCGGACATAGTCTTCGGAAAGAGTGAAGTGTGTGGAACGTCACAGGTCATCCAGCTGATATTGGAGAGTAAAGGCATGGTGTTTGGTGTTGGTTACACCATTTGGGAAGTACATATGGCTACACCACACCCTTTGGGAAGTACATATGGCTACACCACACCATTTGGGAAGTACATATGGCTACACCACACCATTTGGGAAGTACATATGGCTACACCACACCATTTGGGAAGTACATATGGCTACATAACACCTTTTGAGAAGTAAATATGGCTACATAACACCGTTTGGGAAGTACATATGGCTACACCACACCATTTGGGAAGTACATATGGCTACACAACACCATTTGGGGAGTACACATACCCACACCACACCCAACAAGAACAGTAGCCTATGGTACCCAAAACATGATGTAACAAGAAAAATAAATGTCTATTCGTATGTTTTCCATTAACCAAACAAATTTAAACAGCCAAAAACTCGCTAATTTATAAAACGCTTAAAATACTCAGGGATTAATTATTATGTAAAAGCTGTGCGCAGCTTTTTGCATGCAAGGAAAAGTGAATTACCCTTGAAAGAAAAGACTAACGTTGAGGAAAGAGATTTTGATGCAAATCAGATTTTAAGATATCTCTTTCACTGCCCAAACGCTGCGACGGAGAGAGGTCTTGGGGGAGCGTTGATGGCGGGATTGTTTGGCACAGGTGTGGGAGGAAAAGAACAGTACGTCAGGGAGGCAAAGTAGAATAGAGAGGAAGAGAGGGAGAAGAAGAGAGAGGAAGAAAGAAGGAGAAAAACAGAGCCGGATTCGACAGCAATTCGAGACGATAAGACGGCCAGTGACGGGCCGTAACACAAGATACACAGCGTCACAAGCCGGCCCCGTCACCGTCACCAGTCGTTAACGAGGGTACGACGTTGTTAGGCAGAGACTAACGGGAAACTACCAGGTGGAGACTGTTAAAATTGGAGCATTACTGGAGAGATCACGTTGGTAGAGAGAGAGGTAACGCAGGAAGGGAGTAACGGGGAGTGAGAGAGGTATAGGAAGGGAAGGAGAGTGAGAGGTACAGAGGGAGAGTGAGAGAGGGAAGGAAGGGAGGAGAAAGAAGTCCATGAATGCATCAAGGCCATATTTCACGCACTCTTCAACGATCGCCATAATAAAATGGTTAAGTGCAGAAACTTAAACGCTGACGAGGGAGGGAAAGAGAGAGAGAGAGAGAGAGAGAGAGAGAGAGAGAGAGAGAGAGAGAGAGAGAGAGAGAGAGAGAGAGACAGAGAGAGAGAGAGAGAGAGACAGACAGACAGAGAGAGAGAGAGAGAGAGAGAGAGAGAGAGAGAGAGAGAGAGACAGAGAGAGAGAGAGAGAGAGAGAGAGAGAGAGAGAGAGAGAGAGAGAGAGAGAGGAGGGAAAAGGAGACGAAAGGAGAGAAAGACGAGATCAAGAGAAAGAGAGAAATGGACAGGAAATGGAAAGTCAGGAAATAGGGAAGACCAAGATTTGTAAAGAAGGTCCAAGAGAGCGGAAACACTATTAAGTAGGGGAGGGGGGACATGTCAATGACATAGAAAATAATGTCTTGGTATGACGATATACTTGAACATACTCACACGAGAGTATGATACACACGGAGCCGGCCTTCACTGCACCACCATCGAGGACAATATTGAGAATGGCATGTTGACATTTACACGACAGAAAAACAAATTCAGAATGGTGTCACACGAGAGGAACACACAAAAATGCATGCACGCACATACACACACACGTACATACACACACGTACATACACACACGCACATTCACACACGTACATACACACATATACACGCCGGCTCCATCCTGGAAACTAGAACATTTCCCCATAGTAAAGATACACCATCACACCCACAGTAAACACACACCACCACACCCACAGTAAA